TAGACAGACACCACAGAGCAGAAGGAAGAAGAAGAGACATAGCGATGTCGTTAACTTAGGGTTTAGGGTTTAGGGTTTAGGGTTTAGGCACCTCACGTTGTCTAAACCTTAAACCCTAAACTAGCAACAACGGTCCCCCTCTCTTCGCAGCAACAGCTGCTCGTCATTAAAAGGCTTTTCTTCTCTAGGGTTTAGGGTTTAAGGTTTTAGGGTTTAGTGTTTTACGGTTTAAGGGTTTAGGGTTTTAGGGTTTAGGGTTTAGGGTTTAGGGTTTGGACGGATATCCAGCTCCCTCTTTAACCTTTTAAGCCAACGAAATAGACTACGTGTGCAGCTGAGGGTTTAGGGTTTAAGGTTTAGGGTTTAGGGTTTAGTCGGAGGTAGAGTATTGTGCATGCGAGAGGCGAGCGTACAGTGCAGCAACTGGCTAGGGTTTTTGTTCTAAACCCTAAACCCTAAAGCAGTTATTTAATTATAAAAAAAGAAGAAGAACAGCAAACCCTAGGACACAAACCCTAAACCCTAAACCCTAAACCCTCCCGCCTCGTCAGGGGCTGCGGCAGCCCTGTGAGCAGCGCGAGAGAAGACGGCTGAAGAGGCATAGACCCCTAAACCCTAAACCCTAAACCCTAAACCCTAAACCCTAAATAAAGTAAAGATTTGAGCACTAGCAGACGCTCCAAACGAACGAAACCGCCGTAGGGCACCTCAACAGCCCGAGGGCTCGAGGCAAGCCAAACCCTAAACCCTAAACCCTAAACCCTAAGCCCTAAACCCTAGCTGCGCACACACCTTCTAAATTTTAAGGTCGCAGGAGACGGGTGTCCCGCCGCCTAAAGCCACCAACAGCAGCAACAGCAGCAGCAACAACAGCAGCAGCAACAACAGCGACGGCGATAGCAGCAGCAGCAACAGCAGCAGCAACAGCAGCAGCAGCAGCAGCAACAGCAGCCACAGGGACCTTGCTGCGCCACTATCGAACCGTTTGTTGAACGACGTGTCTTTCAGTGCGGCAGCAGAAGCAGCAACAGCAGGAACAGCAGCAGCAGCAGCAACAGCAGCAGCAGCAACAACAACAGCAGCAACAACAGCAGCAGCAGCAACAGCAGCAGCAGCAGCAGAAAGAGCAGCAAGAAAAGTAGCATCAGCAACAGAAGCAACAGGAGCTGCAGCGCGAGCTGCAGCCTATATCTCCTGCCTTCCCTCCTGTCGTAGCAGCACCACCACAAGCAGCAGCAGCAGCAGCAGCATCATCATCAGCAGCAGCAGCAGCAGGATAGTGTGTGTGTTGTGTGTATATCAGGCACAATGCTGGGGCCTTTATTATCCGCTCGTCGTTTTTTGTCTCCTTCATCATGCTGCAGTCTCCTTTCACGTCATACAGCAGCAGCAGCAGCAGGATCAGGATCAGCAGCAGCAGCAGCAGCAGCAGCAGCAGCATCAGGACAACGAAGGGGATATGTGCACTTCTCAAGAGCGTTGCCTGAAGACTATGAATTGCCTGTCGACACGATGCCTAGCGATATTAAGAAGTTATTGTCGTCAGACTTTAAACAGTTAAACTTCATCGACAGCTACTGGTACTGGAGGCTGCGAGCTGAGGCCTCGCTGCTCAGCCCCTCATCGCTTGTTAACAAATCTTATAAACAAATTGCACGGGACCTCGGCTTACAAGTCAGCTAGTCATTTATTTATTTATTTATTTGTTTGTTTATTTGTTTGTTTGTTTGTTTGTTTGTTTGTTTGTTTGTTTGTTTGTTTGTTTGTT